TATTTAACGACTAATTAATTAGTAATTTAATTTAATAAGAAAGAGCAAATTTACTGGTCAAAAAATGAAAAAAAATCTGAAATTAGTTTAGTTCATTTTTGTGATTTTTTCATTTTTTGCTTCAATTTTGTGTTGGCTATCTTTTACTTTCGTAGTGTAAATATTTTAAACCACTATCACTCGAAGTTATGAGATAAAACCCTCGGGCTCCGCCCTCGTGTTTAATTCTCATAACTTCTCGTGGCAGTGGTTTAATCTATTCATAAATGATTGAATTAATGATTGAATTACTTGAGGAAATTTAAATGCACAAATATATTCCCGCACAGGTTAGATGAAATTTTTCCCTTTTAAATAATTCAAGAGTAGCCTGTGCGTTAACTTAAGCGCTTTACCAATATTTAAATTTGAAGTTCATAGACTCTCAAGACTATATCTTATTTGACTATTGCTATAAGAGATTTTAAATTAACTATTTATGATTTTCAGTCAATTTCATTATGCAAATGAGATGCAACGATAAGTTTACCTTTGATAGCCGTCTAGGCAATAATCAAATGATTCACAATTGAAATCATTTGATTGAGCACATCTTTTAGCACAATCACCAATTGGTACATTTGTTATGGTTGAGACGGCATCCAGAACTAGACTTTTGCCAGGATACTCATGGAATAGATTCATAAATGATTCTAAATTGAAATAGAGGAACAAAATTAATATACGAAATTCAAATTGATGTGACAATATATTTACTTTCATAAATATTGCACCCATCTGCATGACTTGTTTTGTCTTCAAGTGCGTCTTTCAATGAACCCGATGTTTCTCCACTCAGAATACATTCCTTATTCTGGTTAACACAATATGAAAGTGTATTACAATCATCATCATTGACACAAGCCATGAAACAATCTTGAAGAGTACTTTTCTCGATCTTGAACTGTGCTTCATTGAAATGACGATTAATGTTTATCATCGGAAAATCTTCAGCTCTCAAAGGAGTTGACCCACTTGTATGTAGTTCCTGGGCTATATCACCAATCTCTTCAGGTCCATTCACAACGAACAAATCTTCAATTGTTAATCCAGATATGTCTAGAACAAATTCGCCTGATGAGATTTTATTCCTTATCTGTTGTAACACATGTTCCATAGTCGACAAATAATTTTTATTGACCAATGGAGTGACCTCCGTTATTGATCTGGTATAGTATGTGCATCCTTGTTTGTATTCCCACCTATGATGATCTATAAAAATTGAACAATCGTAATCGTCGCAGTAACTGAAATCATGACAGTCGGGATTTGCACTGCAAAGTTGCTCACAGTCCTCGACTTTAGATCTTTGCACAATATTTGAAGGATTCATAACAGTATATTGATTCGAACGACGATAAGCATCAATGAAATGCACACGATCATAGAGCTTAACAGTAATATAAACATTAGAATCAACTTGTTGTGTATGAATTTCACCAATGCGGGTTATTGGAATGAATGAAGTCAAGTATGTTTCTGTTGTTTCTTTGATTTGTTCAAGATTGTATTCACTCGTCCAAGGATTTGAAATGAAAAGTTGAAACCAAGTATAGCTTCCAGGTTCTTCATAACAACCTGAAACATCGAATCGATCTTCATAATCAATGTAACCGTCTTCATAATTAATTATGGTTACTTCAACTTGAGTTGGGAAATGGACGGGCCTATAATAAGAATTGAGATCTGCAGTGAATATGACTTTACTGGGAACAGTATTACTGGTGTTCTGTGTATAATAATAGTCGACAATAGCGTCAACTCTATATGAGAAGAAGTCAGTAGCTCTGTATTCTTCCACTCGTAATGGTCCTAAAGGTATTTCACCAATGAAAGTTGCTGCATGTCCTCGAGTTGGCTTCATTACCAGATAATACAATAGATTGAAACCACGATCTTGATGCAAAGGCCAACGAGTGATTAGAGTAACATAAGACGCATAATCTGACGTTAAATATCTACATCGACCGGTGTGCTCATCAACTTCAAATCGTCCCAAAGGAGGAGGCATTTCAATGGAACGAACGAAATCAGTATCTTCTTGAATTTCATATGAAATAACATCGCCTCTTTTCATTACACGAGCAGTCGATTTAATAGGGTCTCTATCATGATATGTTAGTATCGCTTCCATGTCCATAGTAAACTCTTCAACTTGACTAAAATCTGGTAAAGGAGTAGATGGACGAGAACCTTTACGTGCACATCCATAACCCAATGGATATTGAACGGCGTCATCTGATGTTATGACCAACGGTTCGAACATGTAAAAGTTATAATTATATTTAGAATTGGAATCAACTTGCTTTTTAACTGTTTGGGTTTCATTTATTGAAATGACTTCCTTAGTCTCAATCCATTCAGGATAATACAACGAGAACCGATAAGGCAATGAGGTCTTAACATCAAAGTAAAAATCAATGTAGGGTCCATTAGGATTAGTACAATAAAACCAATGATTAACAGTACGACCTTCAATCAGTTCGGATTCTATGAATGAAGCTTTATCACTTATACTGTTGGCATAAATCATCAATACTGTTGGTCCCAAATGAACAAAATCTTTGAACATCTCTGAACTAGCGACAATATCTTTTGGTTCAAACCAATCTTTGATCGAATTAATTTTCTCATTTTGCGTCAAGTCCAATCTGTTACATGTATTTCCCCTAACAGTAAACTTTTCCTCTGTTGAATGATAATAATAACTACGACTCATTTTACTATGAATGGTTTGCTCCAAGTTAATATATCCAACATTATTTTGACCATCAAAATAATCATGGACCAAGGTGTTATAATAAATCGAATTAGAAACAGACGAACGATAACCGGTTTGTTTATCAATCAAACTGAGAACATTTGGAACTTTCAATTCACCAACTTTACCCCTCTCAGGGCATTTGAAATCATCACAAATAATTGAACTAATTAAATAAAGAAAACAAAGAATAAAAGAAAAGTTGAGATCAATCTTCATATTGGAATTAATTGTTGATGTCCGATGTTTAAGTTGTGAAGAGTTGCTTCAATACTTAATTGCAATGAAATAAACTAATTGAAATACTTTTTTACTTCTATTTGTATGAAAAAAATCTGGAATTGATTAATTGTGTTGGAACATTCTATCTCAAAAAATTATTAGCATCCAAATGGGTGTCAGAGGATAATTCAAGTTTTAATCTTCTTCAAATTATGAGGTGTGGAAATCTAATAAAATAATAATAAAAAATATTCAACATGTGATGATAACTGAATATTGCTTATTTATTATTTTACACCAAATCCACCCACATTAACAACTTATAAGTTTATTTATTAGGGGCTTCAAAATGTACGCGTGAAAAAAGGTTCTTCGATTTTTTTCATGCCATGTCTAGTAAAACCTCAGATCAGTACAGTTTCGGAGCCAACGAGGTATGACACTTAGTCAATTCTTATACCGAAATTCGGTCTTGATTACGAAAAAGCCTTTTTTGGTCGGACTTGTGGCTTCTGGTGGCCTGAACTCTTGACCAAGTGTAATTTTTTGCAATTAAAGAACGAAAAGAAATCACTAGATATCTTAGCATGGAAAAAACACAATTCTGACCAATTTTTATCCTTTCTTTTTCGTAAGGCCATATTTTTAACAGCATAATTCATGTGTCTTCACATTTCTAATCATTTTTGATCCGAATCATTTACAGCTATTGACAAGTACCGGTGTACCTGATTGATTTCATTATTTTTTGTGGCTTAATGAATATCTATTAAGTTCATTAGTAGTTCTTTTTCAATGTTAAATTATTTCCATTTAAAAAATAGTCTTAGAATCAAGAGAATAGCAAAATAAAACTCATTCACAAGCCATATTTAATTTGATTTTATCAAGAAAGAAATGCATTCAACGTCTTGATACTCACACAAAATAATATGATGCAAATTTGGCAAAAAAATAAAAAAGCCAGTCACATTAAATAACTTCAGCTGACACAAAGAACAGATCAAAACCAATTTTTGTAATTATTGGATTTTTTAAAATCAGTCAGGCCAAGTATGGTGCATTTTGTGGAGTTGATATCAATTTCTGACCTGGGTGGAATAAGTCAGAAATTTTTTTCTTCAATAATGAATAGACAAAATATGTTAGGTTTATTTTAGGTTTTTTTCAATTTTAAGAAGTGATGCGAAATCAACAAATCTTTTAGAGCTTTGAAGTATGAAAAGTATTATGAAGAGCTACATTACATAAATACAGAATAAACTACATAATATATTGCAAAAATGTATCATGTTGATTAAGATTGAATGATTCATAAACATTCATCTTCAGTTTTCCTCTGATAAGTTAGTCTATGAAATGACTCCTTTTCTAGCAGCAAATTTATATCCAATGAATCCACCAGCAAAGGCCATCAAGCAGACTATTGTCCCCAATCCAAATGCTATCTTCAAATTATTTGATTTAGTTGATGATTCAGGTGGTTTTATTAATGCAGATGGCTGTGGATCAGTTTTACTTTTTCCTGTGATCTTATTGTGATTTATGTAAATTGAACAAATTTTTTTGGTGCTTTTTGTTTCTTCAAATAGTCCAGGTTGGTTGGCATTACTTGGTTTCAAGTTTGTCAATGCACAACTCGTCAATGAAACACTGCTATCGGAGACTTGATTATAGTCAATCGATTCACAAAACTCGAGAGTAAAACAATTAGGATCTGAATTGCATCTGGAAGCACAGTGTTCTAGTGATAAATGGTCAAAGGTTCCAACAATTGATTCTTTCGTGTTATCTTTCAATGCAAGTCCAACTTTATGTTCATAATCAAGTTCAGATTTTTCTATCAAAGTAATAAGATTGAATAATTAGTAAATGTTAACCATATTTAAATGAATGTTAGATGAAAGTTTAGGTTCTTACTTGAATAATGGGAACATCCAGACTCAGCCGCCTTCCAGTTTGTTGCATTTATTTGATGAACTGCATCTATCTCAATGTGATTAACATGTAAGAAGCAGACAGATTCATTTCTGGAAGCAGTTGAAAAAAATGAAATGAAAATTCATTAGAATCATGCGTATTGACAATAATATTGCAAAAACTTTACGAGTATCATTATCAATAATATTATACTCAGGCATCTCGAACTAGCTTTCATTTTGAGTTTTTTAAGTAGTGCACTCTAACTTATCCAACTGTTTCGTTTTTGAAATATTATTATAATATTATAATAATAAACTAATGAAATACAAGAGCTTTTGCTATCAGTCCTTTCACCATTATATATTTTGTGATTGATGGATCAGTGCAATGTTCAGTCTTACTATGCAATTAAGATTGTTTTTCTTTCTCATTAGTTATGATGATTCAAATGATTTGCTTACAATCCATGAAACTTATCTCAACTAAACTTTTAAATAGTTCAAGAGTAGCCTGTGGGTTAACATAAGCTCATAACCAATATTTAAATTTGCAGTTCATAGACTCTCAAGACTATATCTTACAGCATTTCTCTGTATCTCATGTATTTATTTGACTATTTGTTATAAGAGATTTTAAATTAACTATTTATGATTTTCAGTCAAGTTCATTATTCATTCAAGGTATATTCGTATAAGTTTACCTTGGATAACTGTCTTGGCAATAATCAAATGATTCACAATTGAAATCACTTGATTGAGCACATGTTTTAGCACAATCACCAATTGGTACATTAGATATGGTTGAGACGGCATCCAGAACTAGACTTTTGCCAGGATACTCATGGAATAGATTCATAAATGATTCTAAATTGAGATTGAAGAAAAAAATTAATATACGAAATACAAATTGCATTAATGTGACAGTATATTTACTTTGATAGATGTTACATCCATCTGCATGACTCGTTTTGTCTTCAAGTGCGTCTTTCAATGAACCCGATGTTTCTCCACTCAGAATACATTCCTTATTCTGGTTAACACAATATGAAAGTGTATTACAATCATCATCATTGACACAAGCCATGAAACAATCTTGAAGAGTACTTTTCTCCATCTTGAATTGTGCTTCATTGAAATGACGATTAGTGTTTAACATCGGAAAATCTTCAGCTCGTAAAGGAGTTGACCCACTTGTATGTAGTTCCTGGGCTATATCACCAATCTCTTCAGGTCCATTCACAACGAACAAATCTTCAATTGTTAATCCAGATATGTCTAGAACAAATTCGCCTGATGAGATTTTATTCCTTATCTGTTGTAACACATGTTCCATAGTCGACAAATAATTTTTATTGACCAATGGAGTGACCTCCGTTATTGATCTGGTATAGTATCTGCATCCAGGTTTGTATTCTTTTTGGGCCCACTCATAATGATCTGTGAAAATTGAACAATCGTAATCATCACAATAACTGAAATCATTGCAGTCAGGATTTGCACTGCAAAGTTGTTCACAGTCCTCGACTTTGAATCTTTGCACAATATTTGAAGGATTCATAACAGTAAATTGATTCGAACGACGATAAGCTTCAATGAAATGTACACGATCATAGAGCTTAACAGTGATATAAACATTAGAATCAACTTGTTGTGCATGAATTTCACCAATGCGAGTTATTGGAATGAATGAAGCTAAGTATGATTCTGTTGTTTCTTTGATTTGTTCGAGATTGTATTCACTCGTCCAAGGATTTGAAATGAAAAGTTGAAACCAAGTATAGCTTCCAGGTTCTTCATAACAGCCTGACACATCGAATCGATCTTCATAATAAATGTAACCGTCTTCATAATTAACTATGGTTACTTCAACTTGAGTTGGGACATCGACGGAGCTATAATAAGAATTGCGTCGATCTGGAGTGAATATGACTTTACTTGGAACAGAATTGCTGGTGTTCTGTGTATAATAATAGTCTACAATAGCATCCACTCTATTTAAGAAAAAGTTGGCAGCTCTGTATTCTTCCACTCGCAACGGTCCTAAAGGTATTTCACCAATGAAAGTTGGTGCATGATCTCGAGTTGGTTTCATTACTAGATAGTAAAATAGATTGAAACCACGATCTTGATGGAAAGGCCAACGAGTGATTAGAGTAACATCAGACGAATAATCTGACGTTAAATATCTACATCGGCCGGTGTGTTCATCAACTTCAAATCGTCCCAAAGGAGGAGGCATTTCAATGGAACGAACGAAATCAGTATCTTCTTGAATTTCGTATGAAATAACATCGCCTCGTTTCATTACTCGAGCAGTTGATTTAATAGGGTCACTATCAGGATATGTTAGTATCGCTTCCATATCCATAGTAAACTCTTTAACGTTACTAAAATCTGGTAATGGAGTAGATGCACGAGTACCTTTGCGAGCACATCCATAACCCAATGGATATTGTATGGCGTCATCTGATGTTATGACCAACGGTTCAAACATATAAAAGTTATAAACATATTTTGACTTGGAATCAATTTGCTTTTTGACTGTTTGGGTTTCATTTACTGAAATCACCTCCTGAGTTTCAATCCATTCAGGATAATACAATGAGAACCGATGAGGCAACGAGGTCTTAACATCAAAGTAAAAGTCAATGTAAGGTCCATTAGGATTGGTACAATAAAACCAATGATTAACAGTACGACCTTCAATCAGTTCGGATCCAATGAAGGAAGCTTTATCACTTATACTGTTGGCATAAATCATCAATCCTGTTGGTCCCAAATGAACCAAATCTTTGAAGATTTCTGATTTATCGACAATATCTTTTGGTTCAAACCATTCTTTGATCGAAGTAATTTTCCCATTCTGGGTCAAGTCCAATCTATTGCATGTATTTCCCCGAACAGTAATCTTTTCGTCTGTTGAATGATAATAATAACTACGACTCATTGTATCATGAATGGTTTGCTCCAAGTCGATATATCCAACATTGTTTTTCACATCAAAATAATCATGGACCAAGGTGTTATAATAAATCGAATTAGAAATTTCAACAGACGAACGATAACCAGTTTGTTTATCAATCAAACTGAGAACATTTGGAACTCTCAATTCACCGACTTTACCCTTCTCAGGGCATTTGAAATCGTCACAAATAATAGAATTAATTAAATAAAGAAAACATAATAAAAAAGAAAAGTTGAGATTAATCTTCATCTTGGAATGAATTGTTGATGTCCGATGTTTAAGAGTTGCTTCAATCCTCAATTGCAATGAAATAAACTAATTGAAATACTTTTTTACTTTTATTTGAATAAAAAGAATCTGAAATTGATTCATTGTGTTAGAACATTTTATCTCAAAAAATTATTAGCACCCAAATGGGTGTCAGAAGATAATTCAAGTTTTAATCTTATTCAAATTATAAGGTATGAAAATCTAATGATTAATATTGCTACTTTCATTAACTAATCTGATCGTTTTGTACAAGAAATATGATTTGACTAGATCATAAATTTACTCATTCATTTGATTTATTTCATCTTCAATTTCATTGATTCTGAATTGATTAATTCATTTAATGATGTCTTGTAAGCAATGATGTCCAACATTTTATCAGCTGGAATTTCATCAATTATTCATCTAAAAAAAATATTCAACATGTGATGATAACTACTTATTGTTTATTTATTATTTTACACCAAATCCACCCACATTGAACAAATAATAACTTGTAAGTTTGTTTACAACAAAAAACAAATTCAAACCCAAAGTATTTTTAACAGCATAATTCATGTGTTTTCACATTTATAATCATTTTTCACCAGAATTATTAACAAATATTGACAAGTACCGGTGTACCTGTTTGATTCCATTATTTTGTGTGCTTGATGAATATTTATTAAGTTATTCATTAGCTTGGCAAGGCAAAATCGATTAAAAATTAGGAGAAATCGCATAATTTTGGTGAAATCAATTTTTGTGACAGTAATCAGTTTCATTTAAAAAATAGTCTTAGAATCAAGAGAATAAAATATTTTAATAAACTAAAATAAATCTCGTTCACAGTCCATATTTAATCAGATTGCATCAAGAAAGAAATTTCATGTTACTTCCTAATTCTTTGTTTCCTTTTCCTTTCTTTACTAAAACGTGAAATTATTGTTCCAAAATCAACTAACAAAAAGCTGTAAAGGATTAAATCAGACGATAGTGCGTTTGTTCTGATGAAGTAAATAAAGTTATATAAATGAAATCTGCTTAACTCTGAAATCTTGCGTGCGAAAATGCTGATTAGTATAAAATGGCTGTGAATGATAGTGACAGTCACCAGGAAGACCCATTTGCCTTGGAGGAAGAAGAAATAGAGTGGAGGGAAGATGGCTTAATTCTCGATTTTGATTGTGAAATATGGTTACAATGATGTTCTATGATCACCATCGATGAAGGTTATTGATGTGGTATTGCCAAATGTGGAGGCTGAAGAGGAATATCTCCATGGTAAAGAAGAAGGATGTGTCACAATAGACATTTTTACTAGTGCATGCTGTAGAGTGCCGTTAAACAGGGTCTTGATTTGTTTAGAAAATATCCGAAATTACTTATAAAAAAAGAGATCTTCAAATATTGTAAAATTTGATACCTATGCTTTGTGAATCGTTTAAACGAGAATTTGGACATCAAGAAATGTTAATCTTCAACGCAACTTGACATCTTTAAGTTTGAAGATAATTGTGGTAATTGCTCCAGCACAGTTGTGCTGAAGCTAGCCCTTTTATATTACTATGCTACCACTGTATACAATATAGCTTGTGGAACAAGAACCTCACGAGCGCAAGTATGTCGAAAACAGCATTAAAAAAGCTGTTGAAATTATGACTGGCAAGAAGCAACTTGCACTTGTAAAAAAATACGATTTTGTTTCAAAAAATATATTTAATAAAGTATTTCTATGCTTATTGGCTGTTATTGTTTTCCCCTTTTTCTCTGTTATTTTCTATTTTTCATGCGCGAGTTATGGCCGCTTCTTTTCTTAGGCATAGACCTTACTTACTACTCCTATTGATTTTTCTAAATTAAATTGTGTATTATTTCAGATTGAGTTGCTAGTTCTTCTTGGATTAAATTAGCCATTAAATTTTTAAAGTGTTTTGAAATAGATATTTAAAGAATGTATCAATTGGTCGCTTCAATGCATCATGGGTTCTTAGATTATTACGTTTCATTCAACTTAAATTGTTAAAAGACAATGCTTATGTTGATAAACCATTGAGTTCGTTAATTAACAAATTTCAATCTCATCTGGATAAAAGTATGTGAAAAAGACAGATGAGAAAAACTCACTTCCCATTGCCATCGTCAAAGACAATTTCTTGCAGACAAATTTTTTGACATTACATTGTTAATAAACAAACTAACAAAAAGTAAAAAAGCTAAAAGCAATCGGAGATTTGAACGCCATATTTTATGTTGTAAAAACCCGGAATAGTCTGAGCGATTTTGCATGTGCAATGCGGCATCATAAGGCACAAACTGCTTGATGGCATTGTGTTGGCATGAAACATGGACATGCGAATTTGTACTGCAAGCAGCTGATGAAAGAGACATGTTTACGCTGATTGTAGGTGACGAAATCGCCGATGACATTGTGTTGGTTCTTGTCAAATCGTCTAAATAAATGTCATTCGAATCTGCCATTTTTACTTTCAATTCAAAAGAAGCAAAGCCATTTCCATCGTTATTTTTAATGAAGGATATCATTGGGATGTAATTTGGCTCAACGCTATTTGGCCTCTTCCATTCTTTAATATTGTCTAAAACAGTCTTCAATGGAATTTGCTTATTAGCGACAGCTTTTTTGAGAAATTTAATTGCCTTTGAATTATTAGAGATTTAAGTAGCTGCGTTTCTACTAAGCATTGCTGCTCAAACCTTTTCATTGCACTTGTTAGCCAAATGAACTTGAAATTGCTTTAACCGTTTCATAATGTTTTCGATCATTATATTTTTGAACAATGAGGCTTTTATTTCGGAATGATTCCATCGTCAGCAATAAGTTCTTTGATGCTTGCTCATTGAAATTATCATAATAATAAACTATCTCAATCATCAACATCCATCCAACAACCATTGCAAAGCTTGAATTGTCCGCCATAATTCACAGAGAACATTTGACACTTTTGGCATTTTTCGGGCTCATATGTTATAATCACCTTTTTTATGCATTCGCCATTGCCTTGATGAGTTAAATCATGATCCGAATTACACAAATTGCGACCTTTGCAACTGTGTAACGTACTGTGCAACTGTGCAATGTACAACGGCAAGCTGACCACAGAGATGTGCATGAGCACATTTTTTAGCAACAATTTTCAAAAATTGTACAATTCACAATTACAATTTTTACATTGACTGGATGATGATGAACATTGTTGACAAATAATGGTGAAACATGAATGTATTTTGAAATTATGATATCTTTGTCTTATCATTTCAACCAGTACAGCATCCCAGTCAGCTTTTGTTGGCTATACTTCCGAAAAACTGTCATTCGCAAAGCGGAGTCGTGACCACCGGTAACCACAATTCCATAGGATTGACCTTACGTTCTAGTGACCCTGAATGACCTTAAATGACCTTGAAGGGCAGAAAGAAATACAAGCGTTAATTTGATTTTTGCCATAGCAAAAGCATGGAACATATCTGAACTTTGACTAAAGATAACTTGTTTACCGTAACTCGGATTTTAATAAGACAGAACGACATCCGGCTTAGAAAATGGTGACTTTTGTTTGTCCTGGTTGTAAATATTGAATTTCGCTCACCACTAAAATGTGTCACTTTTCCGACTTTGACGGTTTGCCCAAAAACGGCCTTTTATTTCATGGTGCTCAAAAGTAGGCCAAACAAAAATCTAAATCCTCTTTCGATCATGCCGATTATCCAGTTTCCTCTAACGAGCCGTCCAGTGTTATATTTTCTTCTCCCGATCTTAGCTTCTTCGATTTCTATTGCGATTCCTGGGCCGCCTATTTCTCCTTCTTCATTGTGAATTGAGTCCAGTTGAATGATGAACTTTGATTGAGGCTGATAGCAACAGAGCTTGTAAGTAGTCCATCGATAGTCCGAAAGATTTTGAAGCAAAAAGGTTTTTTTCCATGCAAGCCAATAGAAGTACACAATTCAAAGGCAATACATAAAAACAAACGATTAGATTTTTGTCGACAATGGCCAAGCTTAGGAATAAACATTAACAAAATTTGGATCTCGGATGACAAGAATCGGTGAAGGTGGTGTAGAGAGCGGCCTACATTTTTCAATTAGCTTGAATTTTATCCAGTTAGTGTTCATTGCTGGTTTGCTCTTTCCACTGAGGGTTTAATAAGGCCATTTTTTGAATCCTCTGTTGATCAATTTGTATATCAGAAAATGATTGACATTGAATTTATTCTAGAACTTGAGGTTCCAACAAGATGGGGCTGCATGCCATTGTACTGGTTACTCATTACAGCTTCTTCAGGTCTATTTGCTGCTGCTACACACCTCTGACTTGGGCTTACTCATTATTTCAAATGCTCAAGGTAATTCAAGTTCAAACATCTATTTGATATTTGAAGAAATTTTCTGAAAGCACAAATTTCTGCCTAGATGGTTTGCTGTTAGTTTTATGAATATAATTCATGTTGGTCAGGAGATATGAGTGTTTTCAGAACGTAGAGTTGGACAATTGGTTTTGAGAATTTCGTAAATTTTCAATGGCCTGAGTTTTCAACAAATGCCAATAAGAAATCAAGTAGCGGTTCAACCTTGAATGACCGTGGGTGTTCGCAATTTTAGTTATTCAATCTGCGGAAACCCATGGTTCAAGTCTAAGGTGTGTAGCATCAATGTTTCGCGAGTCATGCCTGCGAAAAGGCTTAAAATGAAAAATGCCTGGTATATTATTATAAAATATGTAGCCTCGTATTTTTTCTACAGATAGTTGAAATCAAGGAAACTATGAATAAAATGAATGCAGTGTTCAACTTATGAAGCCAATTTACGTTTTCGTAAAAGCTATCAGCTCTCAAAGTCAAAGATAGCGGTTGATTTAACTGAAAATCGAAGTTATCTGTTGTAGAAATAATAAATATTATTTTTAAGTGAGAAACATTTTTTCCTTTACTCAAGGGAAGCTCTAGTGGAACTTACTTTATTTTTACTAGTATAAAGTTGTAACTGATAATGATGAAGACGTTACACTCCCGCCAAATTCAGAATATGATACTTCTGCATATGGCGAATTTAAGGGA